GCCAAGTTTTGACTTTTGCCCAGTTTAGTTTTGACTTTTGCCATCTACCAAAAATAGTTTTGCCTAACAACTGTAGTACAGTACGCACAGTACGTACTGTACGTATAGTTCTTTTCCTGCATCTGATTGGCTGGAAAAAGTAATCGGCAAAAAATTTAGCGTACAGTACGTACAGTACTGTACATATAGTACTGTACGCGGCACATCACTGGGAATTACCCTCAGAAAATTTGATCACTTCTGCTGCAAATAAATATTTACCTAATGAGATTTATTTTTGATTTTTAGAAGTAATTTGGACACTTCTACTGCAAATAAATATTTGCTTAATGCAACTAATAAGTTTAACCAGATGGTAATACATGGTTGAATAAGCAATTGTACCAATTGTAGTTTAGGTAATAGTTTTAAAAATATGAATTTCACAAAAGCTGTCAAATAATTTTTTTCTAATTAAAGCTATTTTTTAATTTTTGCTAGTAGAAAGTTTTCCTATTTCATTCTTGTAAGAACAGATAAATCTATAAATTCACCAGTTTCAAATCTAATTATATTAATTTTAAAGTTCATTGCCTATTGTTGCATTCGATATTAATAAATTTTTGTTATATTTTCAAAATTTTCTGATCATATAGTCAGTTTCCTCTTTACTCTTCACAAAATTTTCATGATTTTATAGTAGCTTTCTCTTTACCCCGCTTTATAAGAAATTAATATTTTATCAAAAAAGTCACTCATACTACAAAGATTCTACCATTATAAGATTATTTACTTCTATCCAAATTTCTTATCATTATTCAAAAGATCTCTGATAAGTAATACGTATTTCATATATTACTAAAATAAACTGCCACGTTTGAAATATGTGACAAGGTTATGCGATCATTGCAGATCACGTGTAACTTAAAAATTGTGAAAACAGAAAAATCGTAAAATGACGCAAGATTTTACTATGATAACCACAGTTTGACTAAATAAAAGTTTTCTACACGAAATTTTAGTAACAATTTTAGTAGCAAAGGTATATTTAATATCGAACGTCAAGTAAATTAAAGCCTGTACTAAACTCTGATCATTATACTCTTTCGAATGGTGATTGGTATAACCTGTTTCAGATTTCAGATGTAGAAATTACGTCATTTCCGTAATTCGACGCGCGTACAATCAAAATCAGAATTTAGCGTAGCTTTAAGTTACACGAGATCTTTTGATTTTATTGGCTACAATCAGCGATGATCGAGGAGTCTAATAACAGGAGGTCAATTAAAACTAAAATTATTTATTTTAGTTTTAATTGAACACACCGTGTGTGGGATTCACTTTGGATCGGGTACGTTTCCCTCTGTTGAGTCTAATACAAGAATATTTACACAATTACATTCGTACTAGCAGATCTTGAATGAAAGTTCTTTCATATTAAATAAATTATAACTGAATCCGGTTCGTTTCACCGAAAATCAATTAACCGACAGTACGATTCACTGATAATATGTTTCACCGTCAAGTTTTTTTTTATAAATTACATCATCCTTAACTCTAATTCTAACCTGACCTTCAAGACAATGACCAGAATTACCGTACAGTGTGAGATAGAAGACCTTTTATAATACCCCTCCCGATTTTCGGAGATGGATTAATTGCACTTAGTATATAAAATATTACTGTAGCACACATAGTGCAACTTATACACCCTACGCTGACCATAATATCCCTCCGACTATAAATTGTAAAATAGTTTAGTCCACACTGTACGATACTTTGTCGGTGAAATAATTGTCGATATAATGAACGGAAGCGATATAGCTCATGATTACCAGCTACTAATATATATCGCAACAATGGGTCAAATTATGGAATCGGAGAAATAACATCTCAAGAAGGTAGACTTTGGGAAAGTAAGAATAACGTCTGTATTCAACTATATATAGATTACGGTTATTTTTGTCATACTGACAACATCACATAATGAGAGTTACTTTATTCACCTCAACACAACTGTATAATCATGTATTTTAGTTTTTACATTTTTACATGTTTTCTTAAATTTTATTTTTACCTTTTCTGATTTTATTCTAGTTGGAAGATATTTAATTCCTCAGTTCTTACCGATAAGAAACTCTATTTTAGTGGTGGACTGGTCCATGGAAACATTACAAAACTATCATTTCAAATGATTTTTTTTATTTAAATGTTTCTAAATGATTTGTAACAATAAATAATATATTATACGATGGATTAATCTCAGTAATACCGAAGGTTCTCTAAAATTTGCTGCTACAACATGTAGTGGTGGAAATAATGATTATTTGATTGTTATTTTTGATGGTATTGATTATGTGCCTCATAGACCAAACATTTATATTAATCAATTTGATACAAATAATCAACAGTGGACTAATATCACGTCTGTTTGACCTGAGGACAGAGATGAAATCTCATGTGCTAAATTGCATAATAGATCGATTGATGAAAATGTTCTTTAGATATTCAAATACATGATTATCAATATAGAGTTTAATGAATGTCCACTTATGCGGACTATTGAGCAATAACTTTACCTGATAAAATTAATATTTTTGCGGATATAATATTGCTACCGAATCATATATATTGGTTATCTCATTAAGCATGATACATTAACTTAATACATTTGAATTAAAATGTAATTACACAAAATTTTACATATTAACTTACAATTAAATAAATATATTTAATATTTGAAGATATATAGAATATATTTATAAAAAAAAATTAAATTAATTTTTGATTACATATTGTTTAAAAAAATCTCAAAGTTGGTCAATTTTTTAAAAAAAAAATTAAAAAATTGAAATTTTTTGATATATTTCTAAATTAACCAATCATAATTGAGTATTTTTTTGTGCTACTATGTAAGTACCTTGGCATAACATTGATGTATAAACTTGCAAAATTTTAACTATGATTATTATGTAAAAAAAAGTTATAATAAAAAGAGAATTATCTATTTAAATTAGTTTATTATATAAAAAATTAAGAATTTTATATAATAAAATTAATAATATTTATATATAAAAAAGTTAGTAATTATAAAATTTTTTTAAAGGGATGCAAATCATTAACTCTTTCTGATGATCACTTGTACCAAATTCTGCTACAAACATTTGATTATTATTCAATATTTTATTAAATAACCTATTTTTGGATGCCTAAATAAAGTTGTTTCTGATATAATTTTACACTTAGGTGACCTAACTATATATCTCTAGACCTCTTACTCATTGAGATATTTTTATTAAATATAAAAACACTTCTATTCAAGTTGTCTTAAACTTTTACTAATTAAACAACTCTTATAACTTAGAACAAAAAGAAAGAGCTCATTTACAGTTTCATTTTGATATAAAATTTATCAAAAATGGCTTAAAACTAACAAACTTATTGACAAAATAGCTTAAACTTTCTTACAAAATTTTTTTTATTTTTTTGTAATTTTTTTTTTATTTTTTGGGAGGCTGCTTCTGGTCTACCCCATTCAAACCCGTCCAAAACAGGATTACTAATCAATATTATACAATTTATTAATTACAAATTTGTATTTTTACAATTTTACACAACTTCTTTATTCAACGTTAATCTTAACTTACAAATAGATCTGCAAAGTGTTACATACCTTTTGTGATACTTTTCTATTTGTCACACTTTGTATTTGTCACATTCCTCTAATTGTAACATCCCTTATTTATCACACTTCTTATTTGTCATGCCTCTTATTTGTCACACCCAATATCATTGACATCTTATCAGACTCAAAAATCCTAATATTAAATCTGTTTTCATTTTTAAAGCAATCATGTTCATATTAATTAATTAAGATCCAGATCAATATGATTTAAATTACTTTTTGGCTAAATATGGTGACTGCTTTGGTATCATGACTAAAGAAAATAACTTACAACAAATTAAACCTATTCAATTTGTTGTACACCTAACCAAATGCAATAAAAAAAATAAGATTTATTATTTTAAAACATCTTATCAATCTATTATCATTTAATACCTCTGCAAAACTTATCATATTCTCTTTATATTTTGTCATTACTAACTTCCTTCAAGATTTGCAACACCTCCTTCAACTTCTGGTTCTGCTACTCCTATGGACATAATTCCAAACTAATTCAAAAAATCCAAAGATACTATCCTTCAATCTAACATGAACAAAATCCCTTCATTTTCATTCAACTATAATAATTCATCTGTTGCTACTTCTTCAACTATTACAGACCTTGCACCTAATATTGTAGTTATTAAAGCTCATACACAACATATTCATATCTGTATTATCTGTCACAAATCAAATAGTTCATATATTTTTTTAACTAATAACAAACATTCTCTTGATCTTATTGCTAAAATCCTATGTGGATATCCTACTCATCCTAGCTGTATTTCTAATCTCAAGTTAAAATCATCAATTCAAACTAAATCTCTCAACCAATAACAATGATCAGCTTTTTTTACTACTAAATTTGCTCTTATTAAAAAAGAAGAAAAAACTAAATCTTTAAAGAATTCCTTTAATTTCTTAAAAAAAAATGATCTACTCAGCAAAAAATAAAAATTCCACAACAAACAAAAGAAAATCTTCTTGACTGGACCCAAAAATATCCAATTGCAACTGAAATGAAACCTTTATCAACTTTAATACACCATTATCTCAATAAATTTTTAATTTTCTTAAACCTCATCTCATCAATTTTGTATTAGGAAAAATTACCAAACCTGTAACTGAATTTGAACAAATATCTAAATAGAGTTTTAAATATTTCATTAAAACTCTTGCTGGTACACAACCTAAATTCCTTACAGATATTATTTATCAACATAACTCTACTATTGACAACTCAATTACTATATTCTTCGACATTTTACATTCAACTCTTAAAATGCTTCTTTACAAATTTACTACAGCTCTTTTTACTAAACTTAACTATGTTAAAATATTTTCCTTACACAAATCAATTCCTCTCTATATTTTACAAAACCATTTCCAAGTGGCAATTAATTTGGTAAAAATTCATCTTTATTTACAAAATAAATATCAAACAATCGATCTTACTAAATTCTCCAAAACAGTTAACATTCTACCAATATGTTTTTTACTTCACTACTTCATTAGTGAAGATACTATTAATCAACCCTTATTTAAAATATAAAATGATAAAAAATACAATATCAACATCTTACTTAATATTCCCAAACAAGAATTTCAACAAATCTTCTGTATTCTTTCTCTCAAAAAATACAGACCTGATCTTAAATCATGGTTTAAATCTTTCTTTACTAATTACAAAAAACAATTTATCAACATTAATGAAACTAAAACCTTTAATTATATCAAATATGAAATTGTTACCAAACTTGCAAAATCATGCAAGAGACTATTGGCTTTAGACTTTAAAATAACTTCAATTGACTCTCTTAAAGAACGATCATTACTTTGTATCAAAGCTATTCTATTTCACATTCATACCTATATACATAGCAAAGATAATTCATGCACTATTCTCCCTTTTGACACTGAACAAAACTTTGAAAACTTGTCTACTAATTTCTTTAATCTATCTTTTAAAAAATTTCCAGCTACTCTATCAAATAATATCTCAGTCAAATAAACTCAATCAGATCTTGATTTTTCTATTTTTGCAAAAGACCAAAAACCTTATACTACTTTTCAAAACATCACACTTTTATCTTTGCTTCACAAACTTGCTGATGAAACAGAAACTTATTTTTCTGATAACAATAATACTGTTGAAAACCCTAAACATCATAGTTTCTATTTCTATTCCTATTTTTGTGCCTTTCTCAGAGCTGTTGCTGAAAATGATGAAATCAATAATCTTAATGAACATCAGGTCATTAACAAAATTATAACAAAACCAATTAATACACATTTCCTTGTCTAAGTGATTACTTATTTCCATATTCTCAAACAACCAATGATCTCTATATTAGAAATTCTTGAAATATACAAAACTATAACTTATTCATAACTCCAAAAAATCCTTCAAGAAAAATTTAAAATCAAATTTCAATCCTTTAAAAAGTTTAAAGATGATTTTTTCTTTAATTTAAAACCTAGCAAAGATAATAACAAAGTTAAAAAAAATTATCTTATGCGGAAACCCTTCAACAAGAAACTACTACTACCCTTTTTCACAATCCTTTTTAATTAAATCTTCTGTAGAACACATAAATGCAACCACCACTTCTGGAATTATAATGTTCTTCATTGAACATGGGCCATTTCCAGAAGAGAATGATGTAAGTGGATGGGTGATTAAGTCCATTTATATGAAGAACCAAATTAATGATGGCCAGACTCAATATACAGAGCAGGCTATGGTATTCTTCACAGCTGTAAGAGCCAAGCATACGCTAAGCGAATCTACAGAAGAATCTTCCACTTCTTTAAATTCCATTTCATCATCAAACATCAAGGAAGTATCACAAAAACCAATTTACAAGACATTATATGACCCAGACTCATGCTATAACCAATGGCTAGCATGTCTAAATTTATCTCTATTCCTACATCCACAAACACTTTATTCATTTTTAAAACATATTCAATACAACTTTACACAATATAATAATTTCTACTATGCACTAAGATTAGCAATCAAACTTGACTATAGTGAATGCTATATACACCTACCACATGTGTCTGAACCTTTATCTAATTATTTCTTTCTATATCTATCAGGTTATATCTACTACCCATCTATATCTATACCTTCTAAATTCTTTTCAATAAATAATAATATATTAGATACTAACTCAATTATAAAGGATAATGAATTAGACAACACTTATCCTCAATTATTAGAAACTATTTTAGATGGCTATGATGAAACTACTATAGTAATCAATACTACAACAACATCTAATTCAATACCTGCTACAACAAATTCTTATTCTATAACCACATACTATTACTCCTTCATGCTCAAACTATTATTACTTTCTTATGATATATTCATAGCTTTGACTATTCACTTGATAACTTATGTGGCTATACATTAACTATTTCTATCAAAAATAATTATAGTGAAGCTCATGTCTATCTTCCATCTGAACCCAAACTCTTACCTAATCATTTCATCTTATCAGTCCAAGCTATTTGGCATTATCCCAATATTCAACTAAAATTAAACATACCAATATCAGTCTTTTTTATATTAGCATTCTTAGACTTCTCTACCTCTTACCTATTTCAAGAACCAGAACCTTCAAACTATCATAGTTTATTTTCATTTCCTTCTAATCCAACATAATCAAACTCCAAACTACTAGATTTACTAATCTGCATACATAATATATAAGACTACAATAAAGATTTAAAACAACAAATCTGAGAAGACTTCTGTCT